GTTGAATTGGAAAAGAGAGGAGAGGCCTGCAATGCACCATGGTAATCAATGGAGCTGTGCTCTGGCTTTGCTCTAGTTTAGTCGGCAACTCTTGACATTGGGGACCATCATTGTGTTGATCCTTTTTAATTTCACTCCAAAGTTTACCTTATTAAAGGGATTATGTGATGCTGTGGGGTTTAAGGATTATTGATATGATTGTTGAACAGAGGGAATGTAAGGTAAAGGTTGGTGGTGACGATGATGATGATGATGATGACGATGACGATGACGATGACGATGATGATGACGATGATGATGATGATGATGATGATGATGATGATGATGATGATGATGATGATGTTTTAAGCAGGGCTAGTGCTGCTGATGTCAGAACTGGCGATCTTCTTGGGACGGTTGTAGTTCCATGTAGCCTATCTTATGGCATCACGTGATCTAGAGGGACAACATTTTGTCTGTCAATCACCAAAACAACTGTCTTTAGCAGGACTTTTTCATTTACAAGTTCTCTACATAAAATGGCGTATGGCTCCATCTAGTGGCTGTTTTTTTAGAAGAAACAGGAGACAGAAGTTCAATGAACAGTTATCTATTTTTGCCATGAGTTTTACTCATAATAGCTTACATGATATGGCTGTGCAATGTGATTGATGTATGACGCACTCAACAAAAGAAGTTCCCTTACAGGAAATTATAGTTACTATTTTTATTGAATTTTAATTTAATTTGATAGACGACATGACAAATGGATAAAATACATATAATGGAATAGGCTACCCTTGCGTACCTGCTTCTCTCCTATGCATGATCTCTCTGAGTGCAGGAATAAAGAGGGTGTTATATTCTAAATGCCTAACCAATGAAAATTGCTTTCTCTCCATTTTTCTTATCCTCCTGAGAACCAAGGAAAATATTGTTTTTCCTAATCATATTTTTTGTGATTCAATAACTGTTTAGGGTTTTAAAAAAAAGCATCCTACAATTTCCACATTTTAATTTTAATTTTAATTTTTTATTTTACAGCATTTCCACTGTAGTGGACAACAGGATCATTTGAGTACGAAAAGAGACACATTTGGTAGATACAAATTTTTACAGAGTTCTTACAGATTACAGAGTTTTTATGAACTAAGAATACATACATTTTGGGCTGTAGATTGATTATTATCCAAGAATACAGACATTTTGATTATACAATACACATTAATCATTCTTGAATCCTTTTCCTTACATTCCGCAAGGATAGCTTTACTATTAAAGCTTAACACTTTGTTATGTCCATATCCTTTGATTGGTCCCCTTGAATCCTTTCAGTGTTATTTGAACAATGAACATATAACTAATGTGTAACAGATTTATTTTGGATTTTTTCCTTCTGTCAAACTGAATCCAATCTAGCTTTTTCCTTCACTCTTCATTTTGTTCTTAGTATTTTCTTTGTTAGTGGTGAAAGTCCTGGAAGCAATTTCTCTTTTTGGTAATGCAGAGGAACATCTTGCATTTGGTACATCTCATGTACGTCTTGCTCTTGCAGCCCTTATTTCTGCATCTTTCTGCATGCTTGGTATCCATCATCTCAGGCATGTGCATGGCTCCTAGTCTGCGCACAGATGGCTCTGGTTGTGGGATCCTCATTTTAGATGGTGGCTCATACTCATCCTCACTCTCTTCACAGCTGTTTTCCAGTTCCGGACTCTCCAACAGCTCCTCAGCTAGGAGTAGTTTGAAGTCCAGGTACTGATGTGTGTTCTTGGATGGTCTGTGCAGAGCTTTGCTGTCAGACTGGTATTGTATCCAGGAGTTGGTGATGGCAACATCAAAGAAGTGACTGATCACGCGCGATGTCCACTTCTTGGTCCTGCTTGACATACGATAGAAGCTAAGCATGCGATCACAAAGATCTACGCCACCCATGTTATCATTATACTGCTTAATTACTGCTGGTCTTTTAACCTGGACCAGGTGCTTTTCTTTCTGGGACCATCTGGTACAGATGTCTTCTGGGTCTTTCCCATGTACAGTGGATGCCATGAGCACTGGTTTGTTGTCGAACCATTTTGTGATGGCCAGCTCAGGACTCTTTCTGGCCACTGACACTGATGTTCCTCTCCCCTCTTTTTTCAACTGTTTGTCTACTGGCAGCTGGCACAGCTTTGGGACACGGTTCTTCATTATAGTTCCAGTTGCAGGAAGGCCCTTTGCCAGCAATGCATCCAATAGATCTATGGTTGTGAAGTACCTGTCAAAGAATATGTGGCTTCCTGTTGGAACAGATTCAACCATGCGTAGAACTGCTGCAGCTCCAACTCCTAACCTTTGGACTGTAAAGGTATTCTTCCCTTGGTAGACTTCAAAATCAAGCATCAGACCATTTGGGGATGCAAGGACAAAGACCTTTAGGCCAGTAGGGTTTGGCTTGCCGGGAACATATTGCCTGACTGGACAACGGCCTGTGAATGGGATGATTTGCTCATCAATGCAGACCCTTTCTGGCTTTGCAAGGCTGAGACAGCCTTGGCGCACACGATCGAGTATTGGCCTGACTTTCCAAAGAATATCTGCCTTCTTTGTTTCCTCTGTTACAGCCAGGTCATTGACAATCTTGAGGGAATTTCTTATCCTGAAGAATCTATCCCTAGTCATTTTGCTACTTATGACTGGCACTTTAGTTTTGTTGGCCCAAAACATTTTAATTCTGGGATAGCCAAGGCAGGCCATGTGGACTGAAATGCCCAAGAAGATTTTTATTTCTTGTGGCGTGGTGTTCATGCACACTCCTTTGATTTGCAGCTCTCTTTGATTTGTGTATGTTGCCAAATCTTCAAAGACCTTGTTGTCAATGTACTGTGAAAAGTATTCAATTGGACTCCAGTCTGCACGTGTTGTAGGGTCATCTTGACACACAGGAAGCCCAGGTAAGCCCAGGTAACACAGGTGCAAATCTGATATGAAGGAAAAAAGAATAATAAATGATAAGTAATAACAGTTTAAATACTCAATGCAGCTGAATTTAAAATTGTGGAACTGCATCAAACATACATGTTACTCCTGGCCCACAGAGGGCGACGAGTTTCCTGTTCATCCCTGTCTGTATCTGTGTCTGTGTCTGTGTCTGCATCTGTCCCTTCAACTGAGCCTTCTGCATTGTCTTCCTCTTCTTCATCACCGTTTTGTATCACTGGTTGAAATTTATCCTCATCTCTCTCATCACTATTCGGTAAAGAATTCTTTCTGCTTCAGTTCTGTTTCCTACGACAATGTGGAGTCATTATTTACATGAAGATAGTCCTGATGTCCACTATAATTGACATTCATAAAATGGCAAATCTTTCAAAAGATACATAATTTAGTTGCTATCTGAACTAAATATATGATTCCTAACACCTTCATGAACAAGAAAATATATGATTATCATAGTAACAAAACCATAGACAAACAATATTTGACTTACCTCTCATCTTTCCATAAAATGTGCTTGTTCCTATGCCGTCCATTTTGAAAGGAAAGATAGAGGCGGTTCCCGGCCTCCCAGCCAATCAAATGACATATCACTGAAAAGCCCAGGATGTCCTCTGTACAGTACATCAGGAATTAAGAGACTTGCACAAAAGATTCCAAGAAGAGGGATGAAACTCAAATGTTCACTACAGTGGACATAAGTCGCTGATGTCAGAACTGGCGATCTTCTTGGGACGGTTGTAGTTCCATGTAGCCTATCTTATGGCATCACGTGATCTAGAGGGACAACATTTTGTCTGTCAATCACCAAAACAACTGTCTTTAGCAGGACTTTTTCATTTACAAGTTCTCTACATAAAATGGCGTATGGCTCCATCTAGTGGCTGTTTTTTTAGAAGAAACAGGAGACAGAAGTTCAATGAACAGTTATCTATTTTTGCCATGAGTTTTACTCATAATAGCTTACATGATATGGATGTGCAATGTGATTGATGTATGACGCACTCAACAAAAGAAGTTCCCTTACAGGAAATTATAGTTACTATTTTTATTGAATTTTAATTTAATTTGATAGACGACATGACAAATGGATAAAATACATATAATGCAATAGGCTACCCTTGCGTACCTGCTTCTCTCCTACGCATGATCTCTCTGAGTGCAGGAATAAAGAGGGTGTTATATTCTAAATTCCTAACCAATGAAAATTGCTTTCTCTCCATTTTTCTTATCCTCCTGAGAACCAAGGAAAATATTGTTTTTCCCAGTCAGCCCCAAAACTCAGCAAGGCAGGGGTAATGGCAGACAGGAGGGGGTGCTCCATGCCCGGAATAAAGCAGGGATCAAAGGAGGCACGCTCTTCATCACTCACTCACTGGTGATTGGCCTCCACAGAGGGAGGGAGAGCACTCTCAGCTACAGACACCCAGTCAGCCCCAAAACTTTCAGCAGAGAGTTAACAGCTCCACCACAACCAACCCTCTCACACATAGCCCCACTGATGATTAGAGTTGAATTGGAAAAGAGAGGAGAGGCCTGCAATGCACCATGGTAATCAATGGAGCTGTGCTCTGGCTTTGCTCTAGTTTAGTCGGCAACTCTTGACATTGGGGACCATCATTGTGTTGATCCTTTTTAATTTCACTCCAAAGTTTACCTTATTAAAGGGATTATGTGATGCTGTGGGGTTTAAGGATTATTGATATGATTGTTGAACAGAGGGAATGTAAGGTAAAGGTTGGTGGTGACAATGATGATGATGATGATGATGATGACGATGACGATGACGATGATGATGATGATGATGATGATGATGATGATGATGATGATGATGATGTTTTAAGCAGGGCTAGTGCTGCTGATGTCAGAACTGGCGATCTTCTTGGGACGGTTGTAGTTCCATGTAGCCTATCTTATGGCATCACGTGATCTAGAGGGACAACATTTTGTCTGTCAATCACCAAAACAACTGCCTTTAGCAGGACTTTTTCATTTACAAGTTCTCTACATAAAATGGCGTATGGCTCCATCTAGTGGCTGTTTTTTTTAGAAGAAACAGGAGACAGAAGTTCAATGAACAGTTATCTATTTTTGCCATGAGTTTTACTCATAATAGCTTACATGATATGGATGTGCAATGTGATTGCTGTATGACGCACTCAACAAAATAAGTTCCCTTACAGGAAATTATAGTTACTATTTTTATTGAATTTTAATTTAATTTGATAGAGGACATGACAAATGGATAAAATATATATAATGCAATAGGCTACCCTTGCGTACCTGCTTCTCTCCTACGCATGATCTCTCTGAGTGCAGGAATAAAGAGGGTGTTATATTCTAAATGCCTAACCAATGAAAATAGCTTTCTCTCCATTTTTCTTATGGCCAGAATGTGTAGCAAACATAGAATTTAGAATTCCATTTGGATTCCTTGGGACATTCCAACCTATCAGCCGAAGATGTAGCCTAGGCCATAACGTTCTAGAGATTACCTAATATTCTAGAGATGACCCAGGGTCACTGTTACAGTATATAACTGACCATGGCTTGATCTTCTCCTCTCTTTAAAGAAAAAGAGACTGATGTAACTGAGTGAAGATGAACAGATCGTATCCAGTAGCTACTACTGCTACTGTAGCTTATGAAATGTAATGATATCATTTAGAAGTATGGCTATAGGGTCATCAAGACTTGATGAATAAAACCACAAAAGCAGTGTGGTATCTAAAAATATGTTGCTAATTATGCTGTGATGATAAGAATTCCGCTGACGCTGTACTTTGATTATAAAGGTTTATTCCATCAAAGGATTCCAGCGTCAATTTACAGACATCTGCAGATATCTGGAGAATAACCGGACCCAAATCTCTGATATGTTATTCCTCCCCGTCCTTTGTTCAAAACATGGTATTTATCCTATGTAACATAAGATGGGTGGTTTTTGACAGACCAATCACCGGCTTCCGCATATCTCCAAATGTCCTCTATTCCAAGAAGCCTATGTAGTAATGCTTTCCAGATGTTTCAGCAAAGCAGAGTAGAGTTCATCCATTACACCATTTGCAAATGTCAGCAAAATCATAGACCCTCAGACACTACAGCAGCATATTGCATCCATATTTGTTATTGGTTCAATACAGAAAATGTTTTATCATCCCAGACCCAATAAGAAGACAGTGTGTAGGGGCATATTTTGCAAGAATTTTGCTGGGTGGTCTGAGTGGGGAGGGGAGAACTAGCTGTTATTGGCAGAGAGGTTTGGAAGTCTTTCTTATTGGTCTATGACCTAATTTACCACCTGGTGATGTCACCATGGAATGGCCAAATCTCCATCCGACCAAAACAGGCTGAAATTTCAGGCGGCCTTTTTAAATAGCTCTTACACTAAAAGGGCGTTCTCTTCATTTTCACAATTCCGCAGTATTAATCCAACCTCATAGTGTGGAAATATGCATAAAACACAAGAAAATCTAGTTTTTGACTGCATTGGGCATTTCATGTTCTCTTTCCTTTTCTTCTGAAGGCAGCAAAAAACCCTCCTATTGTTGAGCATCTGAAAGAGAGTATAACACATTAACACATTAGCTCGTGGCACAATTCACATAAACAGGCTAACTCTTTGCCCAACAAATGACTTTGGTTTATCTCAATCTTCAAAGCAGTGATTTCCCCTCTTCAGCCTGCCGCTGGGCTGCCAGAGTCTGGCAATCTCTTTCTCTACTTTCACCAGCTTTGTGGCCAGCTCAGTGCTGAGCTGGTCCCAGGCGGTCTTCTCAGACTGCCTCTCTTCCTCCATTATTGCCATCTTGCCCTCCAGCTCAGCCTTGAGCTGCTCAAAGGGAATCCTCTTCACCTGCCAGTGCTCCACTTTGGCCAAATTAGCCTGGATCTCCCTCCTCAGCTGGGTGCAGATAGTCGTGACTGTTTCCCTTTCAGCCAAGTTGTTCTCCAACTCACTCTTCTTCTCCTCCATTTTCCCCGGCTCACTCCTTAGTGGTCGCAGGCGGTCTGCTCCTCCTTCAAAGCTCTGGCCAGCTGAGAGGCCGTGCTCTCCTCACCCTGCAGTCTGGCCTCCATATCTGCCATCTCCCTTTCCAGCTGGGAGGCCCTGGTCTCAGACTCCTCGCTGATCTTAAGTCTGTCTTTCAGAGCTTTCTCCAGCTGGGAGGCCCTGCTCTGCTCAGTTGATGAGATGTCTATTCAAGGCCTCTCTCCATCCACAAGGCCCTGACTTCCACCTCATCCAACTTCCTCTGCCGCTTCTCAATGGTTCTCTGCTGCATGGCCCCACTGAACTAGCTTCTCTTCAGGCTGGCCTTGACGTTCTGCAGCTCCCCAAAAATGTATTTGAACATTTTATCATTGGTTTTCTGCTATAGATACGTTTCAACACAGATCCTAAAAATGATTGTACGCGATTGAGAAAAACTGTAAGTAATGAAAGGTATGATGTAACACAGACGATAAACAGATCTTATATAGGTAGCTTATATACCTCTCTTATACAATCTATTGTATTCTAGTTTATAGAATTACATTTTAGTCATTTAGCAGACGCTCTTATCCAGAGCGACTTACAGTTAGTGCATTCATCTCAAGATAGCTAGGTGGGACAACCACATATCACAGGCATAGTAAGTACACTTTTCCTCAATAATGTAGTTATCAGCAAAGTCAGAGTTAGAAGGGAGGGGGGGGGGGGGGGGGTCAAGTGCAAGTGTTGGTTCAGGAAAGTTTGAATTATTTATTCAGTACAGTACATTCCTTTGACTCTTTATAATGTATTACATCAAGTTCTGAATTTCTTACACACACGTCCACTTGTATTTTCTGGTGCTATGTGTGTCAACTGATCATGATTGAGTTTTGCTATCACCTCCAGATGTGGTTTGATGTCTTTTCAGGACTAGCTGTGCTGTGCACTGGCCATCAGCAGAGGGATGGTTTATGTTTGTTGTAGGAACATAGCGTTTGGTGTGTGTGTCTGCATGTGCCTGCATCGTGCGAGTGAGCATGCGTGAAATGCTGATTATCTTTAAACACATAAGTGATGCAACTGAGGCAACAAAGAGTTCCTATTCCATGAATACGGAGCCTATATGATGATTTTATATTTAATGAGTTTTCTATGTTTAAATATTTCCATCTCATATGATTGTACTGTAAATTAGGAAATGGTTACATTGTCATTGCAGCCTTTCTCTTATACAGAATGCCATCATCATCATCATCAACAACAACACCACCACCATAATGTGACATTGTAATCATTCCTATCACTTGACTTTGACAGAAGATTTTCTGTTATCCTATCTTGATTAAAAGCGGTCACATTTTTTTATCTTCTCAATCAGCAAAACGTTATCACCCTAAGCTCCATAACTGGGTAACGATTTATAGAAATTCAGGATTGTTTCCTTGTAACCATGTGAAGTTAATATATAGAAGTGCTCCTTTTTCTTCAGTTGACCCGAACCTGCAGATACTACTTGTGACTCACTCTCTAATAAATAAGTCCTCCTCACCTACACTGAGTGAGTTAAAGATGTGCTTTTGAACTATTTTTAATCCTGCTGTTTCAATATCAGACTTTTAATAAATTCTGATTTTTTTCCAGCATTATCCTCTGATTTAGTAGAAGCTCTTATCCAGAGCAACTTACAGTTAGTGAGTGCATACATTTTTCATACTGGCCCCCCGTGGGAATCGAACCCACAACCCTGGCATTGCAAGCGCCATGCTCTACCAACTGAGCTACACAGGAGATTATAATGTTTGTTTGTTTTTTTCAGTCTCAGGAACCCATTTCTCATGGCAATGTTGACCTCACACAAGTTTTCATAATATTGAAATACAGATTTAGTCTTCATAATAGGGACTGCCTCTGACTTGACCCTTCCATACCTAGGCCTTCTATCTATGGCTTGTCTCTGTAACAACACTGGCATGCAGATTGTCCATACATGAAGTGTCACGGATATCAATTTTATTTTCCCCCTTATTGTAGAAACCTTTGATGAGACCAACCTTGAGCAGGACACACCCTCTTGGTAAGTGTTTGAATTTCAATCGGTTAGTATATCGGACATTAATTTGTTGGTTAGGTGATACAGGGACATACTTCTACATCTGCATTGCTTGCTGTTTGGGGTTTTAGACTGGGTTTCATTATAAGCACTTTGTGACATCTGCTGATGTAAAAATTGTTTTATAAATACATTTGATTGATTGATTGATTGATACCAGACATAAAGTGCATGCTACACTGAATGTACAAAACATTAGGAACACCTTCCTAATATTTAGTTGCTCCCCCTTTTGCCCTCAGAACAGCCTCAATTGGTCAGGGCATGGACTCTACAAGGTGTCGAAAGCGTTCCACAGGGATGCTGACCCATGTTGACTCCTATGCTTCCCACAGTTGTGTCAAGTTGGCTGAATGTCCTTTGGGTGGTGGACCATTCTTGAGACACACAGGAAACTGTTGAGCGTAAAAAACCCAGCAGCTTTGCAGTTCTTGACACACTCAAACTGGTGCGCCTGGCACCTACTACCATACCCCGTTCAAAGACACTTAAATATTTTGTCTTGCCCATTCACCCTCTGAATGACTCACATACATAATCCATGTCTCAATTGTCTCAGGGCTTAAAGTTCTTCTTTAACCCGTCTCCTCCCCGTTCATCTACACTGATTGAAGTGGATTTAACAAGTGACATCAATAAGGGATAATAACTTTCACCTGGATTCACATGGTCAGTCTGTCATGGAAAGTGTTTTGTAACTTAATTAAGTATTTTTTATTGGGTATTTAATCCTCACAAAATATATATATATATATATATATATATATATATATATATATAAAGTTAGAATACACATTAGATTAGAATTTGTTGTGCCAAACTGGAGGATGGTTTGCCCAATGGTGTATTTAAAAAGGAAGTTCAGTATTTTCCAACTTCATGTTAGATGGTTCCTCAACTTTAAACCACCACTATAAACTTAAGCTAACTTTCTAACTCATCTTCAGTATGTGTTGATTCAAATGTGTATATAATCCAAAATATACATTGTCATGAATAATTAATAATAATAATTGTTGAGGTAACTTATTGATTAAAATCATATATTTATTTAATTTATGGTAACAGGGACTACAGATGAAAATCTGGCACATTTACATACAGTGGGGAAAAAAAGTATTTAGTCAGCCACCAATTGTGCAAGTTCTCCCACTTAAAAAGATGAGAGAGGCCTGTAATTTTCATCATAGGTACACGTCAACTATGACAGACAAATTGAGAAGAAGAAAATCCAGAAAATCACATTGTAGGATTTTTTATGAATTTATTTGCAAATTATGGTGGAAAATAAGTATTTGGTCACCTACAAACAAGCAAGATTTCTGGCTCTCACAGACCTGTAACTTCTTCTTTAAGAGGCTCCTCTGTCCTCCACTCGTTACCTGTATTAATGCCACCTGTTTGAACTTGTTATCAGTATAAAAGACACCTGTCCACAACCTCAAACAGTCACACTCCAAACTCCACTATGGCCAAGACCAAAGAGCTGTCAAAGGACACCAGAAACAAAATTGTAGACCTGCACCAGGCTGGGAAGACTGAATCTGCAATAGGTAAGCAGCTTGGTTTGAAGAAATCAACTGTGGGAGCAATTATTAGGAAATGGAAGACATACAAGACCACTGATAATCTCCCTCGATCTGGGGCTCTACGCAATTTCTCACCCCGTGGGGTCAGAATTATCACAAGAACGGTGAGCAAAAATCCCAGAACCACACGGGGGGACCTAGTGAATGACCTGCAGAGAGCTGGGACCAAAGTAACAAAGCCTACCATCAGTAACACACTACGCCGCCAGGGAGTCAAATCCTGCAGTGCCAGACGTGTCCCCCTGCTTAAGCCAGTACATGTCCAGGCCCGTCTGAAGTTTGCTAGAGTGCATTTAGATGATCCAGAAGAGGATTGGGAGAATGTCATATGGTCAGATGAAACCAAAATAGAACTTTTTGGTAAAAACTCAACTCATCGTGTTTGGAGGACAAAGAATGCTGAGTTGCATCCAAAGAACACCATACCTACTGTGAAGCATGGGGGTGGGAACATCATGCTTTGGGGCTGTTTTTCTGCAAAGGGACCAGGACGACTGATCCGTGTAAAGGAAAGAATGAATGGGGCCATGTATCGTGAGATTTTGAGTGAATTCCTCCTTCCATCAGCAAGGGCATTGAAGATGAAACGTGGCTGGGTCTTTCAGCATGACAATGATCCCAAACACACCGCCCGGGCAACGAAGGAGTGGCTTCGTAAGAAGCATTTCAAGGTCCTGGAGTGGCCTAACCAGTCTCCAGATCTCAACCCCATAGAAAATCTTTGGAGGGAGTTGAAAGTCTGTGTTGCCCAGCGACAGCCCCAAAACATCACTGCTCTAGAGGAGATCTGCATGGAGGAATGGGCCAAAATACCAGCAATAGTGTGTGAAAACCTTGTGAAGACTTACAGAAAACATTTGACCTGTGTCATTGCCAACAAAGGGTATATAACAAAGTATTGAGAAACTTTTGTTATTGACCAAATACTTATTTTCCACCATAATTTGCAAATAAATTCATTAAAAATCCTACAATGTCATTTTCTGGATTTTTCTTTCTCATTTTGTCTGTCATAGTTGACGTGTACCTATGATGAAAATTACAGGCCTCTCTCATCTTTTTAAGTGGGAGAACTTGCACAATTGGTGGCTGACTAAATACTTTTTTTCCCCACTGTAGATGATGTTGATCAATGTGCATAGTCTCAGTACCGGTACCCCCTGTAGATAGCCTCGTTATTGTTGTGTAATTTTCTTGTGTTACTTTTTTATTTTATTTTTTACTTTAGTTTATTTAGTTTCTTAACTCTATTTCTTGAACTGCATCGTTGGTTAAGGGCTTGTAAGTAAGCATTTTGA